CAGGAGCAGCCAGTGGGACTTGTTTCGTCCACTCCCCATTTCTCAACTCCCTGCTCCCTGCCCCCTACCTGGAGGCCTCTACAGATTCCAGTCAGAGGACCCTAGGGCAGAGATTAGGTAAATGACCAATGACCCAGTTTTTGCATCTGAGCTGCAAAACACCTGGCTTGGCCTGGTCCGGCTTGGGGGAAGGGGCCTCCCTGCGACTTCCCAGCTTCTAGTTCTCCATTTTTCTGTCTTGAGTGTCACCAAAATCTCAGAGGCATTTCAGGGCAATGGGAAGAGACTGGAAATTTAAGTTCAAATCCCAGGTTGGCCATTTGTCCTCTTGGTGACCTTGAAGCCTCTGTTTCCCATTATGAAATGGGAAAGATGCTCAGCCAATATTTATTTATTTGTTTGTTTTAATTTTCACATGAGGATTTTTTTTCCTTTGCTTTTTCAGAGTGAGTAGAAATTAGAGAGAGAGAGAAACATCCACGTAAGAGAGATACATCAGTTGGTTGCCTCCTGCTCTCACCCAGACTGGGGTGGAGCCTGCAGTACAAGCCCTTGGCCAGAATGGAACACTGCCCTGAAATGCCTCTTTATTGATTTCAGAGAGAGGAAAGGAGAGGGAGAGAGAGCGATAGAAACATCAATGATGAGAGAGTCATTGCTCAAGCCCTCAACCAGGCATGTGCCCTGTCTGGGAATCGAACCCTGATCACCTCTATCCTAGGTCGATGCTCAACCTCTGAGCCACGCCCGGCCAGGCCAGCCAGTATTTAGATGTATTTTTTGGCAGTGTCCTGTGCACCAAAAGGTTGCTGGTTCAATTCCCCTCAGGGCACATGTCCTTTAGAGGGCATTCAAGAGGTAGCCAAATCTATGTGCCACTCTCACATTGATGTTTCTCTCTCTCTCCTCCTCTCCCTTTCTCTCTCTAAAAAATCAGTAAAATCTTTTTTAAAAAGAAAAATTGCCAGGGGAGAAATTAATTTGAATTTTATTCTAATGTCAGCCAACTGGTTCAATCCAAGGAAAAGTTGGAGAAGGGAAAGGGGTGTATAAACATCCTTGATCCCAACCAGATGGTGGCTAGAGCTACAAATAGCCATGTCTTCCCCACATGTTCAGATTTCTTATAGCCCTCTTATTCCACCCACTTCTTGTGCTTTTGGTGTGCGCATATGAGAAAGAGATGGTTATGTCAACAAAAGAATGTCCAAATCTTTAGAAAAGTTTTAAAAGAGTTTACTTGAGCCCTAGCTGGTTTGGCTCAGTGGTCAGAGCATCTACCCTCAGACTGAAGGGTCCCAGGTTCAAACCCCACCAGGGGCACATACCCCAGTTGCAGGTTTGATCCCTGGCCCTGGTCAGGGCATGTGTGGGAGGCAACCAATCAATGTCTCTCTCCCTCCCTCAGCCTCCGTCTCTTTCACTCTCTCTGAAAAGCAATGGAAAAAATATCCTCTGGTGAGGATTAAAAAAAAAAGAGAGAGTTTATTTGAGCAAAATTTTTGAGGATGTGCCTGGAAGTAAAATCTAAACGGACTGAGAAAATGCTCTGGAGAATGGCAGTTTTGCTGTTTCTTTTATGCATTTAGAATCAAAGGAGAAATGCAAGGAAGCTACAGAAAATCCACTGGTGGTAGATTAAGGAGGCAGGAGAAGGCAAAGTGGGGAAATCTCTAGGATCAGATAAAAAGCAAAATGGAGAAACACATACTTCTTTTACATTGGTGGGTACAGTATAGCTAATAATTAACATTTACTGTACACAGAGATGGTATTCTAGGAACAAGATAACAATGAGGGGTTTGCCGGTCTTGTGCTCTGGTGCCTGTGATTGTGCCTTCAAGGGGTCTAGAAAAGAAAATTACTTTTACATTTCAAAGGTATGTTATCCTCGTGCATAAGGACAATGAACTTAAGGTAAAGGTTGACCTTTAGCTATAGGTCTGGAACGTGACCACCACCTAAACTGTCCAGTTAGGGGCTTATGATCAGACCATCCTGTATAGTTACTTTCAGTCACTGAACTTGTCAGGTCAGTCATGTGACAACCCCCCCTCCCCCCCCGAACTTGCCAGGTTTATTATAGAGCCCCCTTTTCATTTGCACTTAGTCCTATTTTCCCAAACCTGTTTCTGCTGACTGGTGGGGATGGTTATATAGTATAGTACACATTCCTCCAGGTAATAGTTGAGGCCAGGGCTCAGCTGAAGCAGATCACCTCCTTCCCCCAAGTTTACCTCTCCTCTACCATACTGAGCAGGTAAGTGAGGTGATTGTTGATCCATGGTGATACCTTTACTTTGCCCTAGAATATAAGCTCCGGGGGGAGCAGAGGCCAGGCCGGACTTGTGCACACAGGGGCATCCCTTTGCATCA